CATCTGCTGTTCACCCAACCGTTTAATTACTGTAACACAACATTGTTTGTCATCTGCTTTCATATGTTCTACTTAGGCAAGGAGCCAACTAAACTTTATTATTTAATTCTAGTGAACTTAGGATGCGAATAAATGAAAGAAAAAAAAAGATGCAAATTAAACATCTTGTTTGGGCTGGGGTACGAAATATAATTAATGCTATAAAAACAGATATATTCATTAAAATAAGGGGAAAGAGGTAAGAATTTTTTCAATCGAGCTCTGAAGACAAAGGAACAAGAACAGACCAGCATTTTTCTATTTCCACATTTTTCTTCCAGTTTCGAATTTGATACTTATGGTGATTATATCTTTTCTTCCGTTCTATGATTTTGTATAGTATTAAAAAAATAAAATCGTTTGGTTCCGCAAACATACTTTTATCATTTTTGCTACATTTAAGATATCAGATAATTAAATTTAATTTAAGAAGCTTCCTAATTTAAGCGGTTGTTGTACCAGATTTTTAAATAGCTGTTGTAACCAACGGAAGGTTACTGAATAGAATAATCTCACGAAGGTTGGTAATGAACGATAATACTTAGGACAAGAACAACACATAAAAGATTCGCCAGCGACGCGTAGAAGTAGTAGTCAACTGTTAGAAGTGAGTCAAGTGAATTCCACAATGAATCTCCAACTGCAAGATATCTACCAACCGCCTAACGCAGTCAGATGTGGCACAAGGTCGAATTAAATGTGGGTTATCCGAGCCTGTAGGCTCGGCCAAAATTTCCCCATAGATCCCGTATAAAACGGAGTCGAGAAGCTGTTTCCCAAGACGAGACTCTGCCTTTCGACATAGCCTGGTCTGGAGATCCTCTCTGCCCGGAAGCAGAGAGTTTGACCAGCACAGCTGAAGACGAATCTTCAACTGCAGGATAGCTACCAACCGCCCCACACGGTCAGATGTGGCACAAGGACGAATTTAATATGGGGTAACCAAGCCCGTAGGCCCAGCCAAAAATTCACAGTAGACCCCATATAAAACGGAGCCGGGCAGCTGCTTCCCGAGACGAGACTCCGCCCCTCGACACAGCCTCATCTGGGGAGTCAGAGAGCCAGACTATCACTGAGACGAATCTTCCCCGTAGGGGTCGGGTAGCTGTTTCCCGAGACGAGACTCTGCCCTTCGACTTAGCTTTGTCTGGTGAGGAAGAGACTTTGACCAGCACAGCTGGAGACGAATCTCTGACTGCAAACCAACATACAGTATTTACTACTTTATTTATGTGAATGGGGACATATCCATTATCGTCCGTAGGTATGCTACAACAATAATCTTATTTAATATTTCATAGTAGATTTCTGTCCTATGTAGAAAATTCTGTGACTTCCGTTAGTCCGTCCGTCACGTCCTCTAAAATAGCCATACATTGACGATCGAAATTATATTTTTGGTAGAAGTGAAAACAGGTAAGTGTGCGTGTGTGTGCTTTATAAAGTACAGTTTACTCGGATACGTAAAAAAACACTTAAAATGTTGGAATTTGGGTCCAGAAAGAAATATTTACGCATGGCCAGCTGTATGTTGCATGTTCAAGAGTAAGAAATCTTAAGAATTTATTCTTTGTTGTTTTTAAATCATTTTTTCCTTTTTCCAAATAGGAAATAATTTAAATAAATTTAATTTAATTTAAAAATAATTTAAAAAAAATTGTTTACTATCAAGTCTTATGAAAAAAAAAAAAACCCTGAAATTTTCACGGGTCTGCGAATAGAAATTTTATTCCTGACATTTTTTTTTTATTATTTTAATATAAAATATCTATAAAAGGAAACATGTAATTTAAAAGGTAAATTTTTATCATCAGGAGTGAGGCGAGCTGGAAAATTTGAAAATTGCTCTCATGGAAATTAAAGTTGGTTCCTTGGTTGAACTGGATTATTGATTGCAGGATTTGTGATGGTTTACATGTAATATAATTTGCCAGTTATGACTGTGGTGAATAAAAGAAGTGCATCTCGTGCTGTGAAGCGAAAACATGGTCATTTTATTAATTAAAGAGAAAAGGTTGAATTCATTAAAAACGAAAAAAATCGGCAGTAGTGTGTTGGTGAAAAATGTGCTCTTCTACAATGTACAATATTAATAAACAAAAAAAAAAAAGAATTGTAATTGTAATTTTGAAAGAAACATATGTATAAGAAAAATAAGGAACGCCAGAAATTCAGAATTAGATAAAATGCTGCTAGTGCTTAAAAATATAAGGGGGAATATTTGCATGGGCAAGGTGGGCAATAGGATGCGTGAATACCACGAGTTGGGGATTATGTGAACATTGTTCAAAAATAATTGTTCGAAAATGAATTATTCGAAAACCATTTATTCGAAATGTAAATTGTTTGAATAAAAATTAATCGAAAGGACAATTATACTAAATGATAATTAATCTAAATGCAAAATTCTTTATTGTAATAAAAATGTAAGAATTAAAAGAGGAAATATACAAATGATAATTATTCGAAATACAAATATCGTTAATAAAAACAATTTAGAAAGAAAAATACTTATAACCTTAAGTTAGATGATACTGCACTCAAATAGTCAACTTTTTATAGTGGCCTCCTTTAATACACTTGTCAGTACAAGTGTATTAAAGGAGGCCACTATTTTTTTAAGTTTTCCATTTACGTCACGGTATTTCTTGGCGCTCTTGATATTTTGACAACTTTCTCTTACTTTTGCAATATGAATTTCTTGCAAGTCCTGTTCTCTTTTAAGAGCGTCTAAGTATTTTCCTATTGTGTAATGAATGGATGACACTTACTGCAAAAAAGCCCTATGCCAAGCTTCAAGGGCGTTATTAATTCTAGGTAAATCAGCATTGACTGTCTCAAAGCAAGACCACATACCTATTTCAAACATAGATATTTCGAATAATTATCATTTGGTACAATTGCCCTTTCGATTAATTTTTATTCAAACAATTTACAATACGAATAAATGTTTTTTCGAATAATTGTTTTCGAACAATTTTCTCAATACGCGGGTTCGGCGATAGTAAAAATTTGATAAAGAAACAGTCCCTGTGTTACAGCCATGTCATATTTTCAGTATTGAGCAAGGCTGATTACTAGTTTCATTTAAAAGTGTTGGAATCTATTTATATTAAGTCTTACCAGCAAACTCTCTATAAACAGAAGGAGTGGTTGGCGGGCTTACAGTAATTAAGTCCACTAAGTAAGCATTATATTTTCTTTCATATAGCATTAGGTTTTCATTTTTAGTCACTGTGCCCATTTTGGTCTCAGATCTTAGACCAGATGAGAGAGGACCAATAAAACAGTTGAATTGTCTTTTTGTCCACAATGTCGTATTTCGATATTACCTTTTAACGGTAATATATATTTTATTTACATTATGCACATTATTCGGACTGTTATCCTCATCTTCATTGCCATATTCACAACGTTTCGACCATTGTACATTCTGTTCTTCAGGTGATTGGAATTTCGAACTGAACCCTTTATTTCGCTTACGGGGTTAGATTGTTTTGTTCCACACGCCATGCCTCTTCTGGATGTCGCAGTTATTTCCCTTTAACTCAAATCTCCAATTTTTCTTTTTTTTTTTTTTTTGGTTAACCACTGCTGTAGCCTGGTATTGAACACACAACTAACTCTTTGGGTCTTGTCACTGGATTTAACCAACGTCTTTATCCACTGGGTCATACACATATGTGTATATATTTTGTTGTTTTTTGTTACCAGCCTTTTTTCTCTTATAAATTTTCACCTTTTAATATGTTCATTTTTATGGCACTTAATAAGTGTATACACCTGAAAAAATAATTAAAATATTTTTAATGGTCTGTTTAGTTACTGCTTAGAGGTAATCCTTTTTTTCTTGATTCGTCATTCTCACTAATCCGAAACTTCTCAAGTCATGTACCGGATTAACGAAGGTCGGAATCTATTTGAACGATTCAACTCAAGTCAGGTTAACGTTTTTTAACAAGAATACACGTTCTTGTCTGTGTATTTCATAAAAAAAGACAATAAGAGATTCACTAATGAAGTGCTGTAGAAATTTGTACGTACATAGACTTCCAAGTAAATAGATGTTGAATGTAGCTCATTTTAGCGTAGCGTCATTTGTCTTGTATTGTCTGAGACAAAAAAAAAATGACGTACGTGTATTGACAAAGATTTCTTTTAAGACAATCCGGACTTTATGAGCTCATTTAGTGTGGAGTTATTTCCTCGTCCTTGTAATGAAAAATAACGCACACGATTTATAGTTAGGAATAAGAGGCTACTAAAATAAGTCAGCATATTTTCTTTCAAACCACAAGGTCTGTTGATAAAAAGCTTGTGCATGAGAAGATAACATTATCGAAAAAATAGCAATCAGTCTTGTTAAGAGAAACTTTTGAAAGGATAGAAAGCAAGCATTGTGTTTACTTTTGTTTTTAATTATTTTTGTTATTCCTTAGCATGCAGGGGTGTGCAGATGGTGTAATAGATAGCGGCATTATTATTACATTTACTTACACGTAAATACATATGGGAAAATTATAAATCCATCTCCTCTTTTTTGAGCACTCGTCTGTGTATATATATCCAGTGGAAGTACTTGCACATATAAAATATGTCAAAGGTGACCAAATGAGAAGAAGGCCCCAATGTTTTATGGTCTATTGAATTTGTTCACATAACACACGATTTGTACGTAGCAAAGGAGTTCATAAAAACATCTTACATGTAGCGAAGTTGTTCAGTAAATACAATGACCTCTTTTAAGTGTGTAACGTAGAACTGTCAGTTAAAAACCTTTCAGTCAGTTTAAGATCGAACTCGAGAAAGCCGTTCAAACTGTTGGAACTCAATACATACGCCGTGAGACAAATGGCTGACCTTTGACACTGACTTGATTTCTAGTTTTGTTATTTTTGTTTTTGTTTTTGTTGCTTTCTTGATGTCTAGCAGTTTGACTGCATTATAACGCGTCTCTCGCGATGTACTCAATGAGCAACGCCTTCAATTGTTTTGTCTGCTTTATGGCGATTGCAGGTAAGATCCATTTGGCTTTTACACTAGTCAGGTAACTGTTTTAGATTCAAGTCTCATCTACGAAGCGAAACATACAAATACATACAATGCAACCGGTGAAGTTCATTTTTTTTTTAAAGGGCAGAAACAATGGCAATATTCAATTGTAATCTCCCTGCAATGACAGACGAATTGGATTTTTAACTAATCGATAATGAAGTTAATATAAGGATTTGAACTGGACAGAGACACTTACAAACAGAAACTGCTGTATGTAATAACAGCATTATTTAAGGAAGATAATATATATATAAAAAAAAAGAGTTTTCATATTTTATTTGTGATTTCTTTCGTATTTCTATTCTCTTTTTCGATTTTTTAATTGAAATTATCAATTCATATATGTCCGTAATTTTCGTTGCACGCATACACATATACGTGTAAAAGCACGTGTACGCATTTCTGTACGTCAAGGGTGTGTGTTCGTGTACGTATGCGCTCGCCCGTGTATGTGTGTGTGTGTGATAACAGGTTTTGTTATGTAACTGTTATATAAGTGGATTTTGTACATATTTTGAAAAGAATCAACATTTCCTTGTGAACAAATCATAAAAAAACTGAAAGTTGTCGAATAAAATACAATTATTTTGCATAATCTGCATAAGTGGCGATGAAAGTTAAGATTTGTTAACTTACTTGTACAACTATTTTAAGTAAAAAAAAAGCGTGAACATTTCATTCACATTGTACATTGCACTAGAATGCGACCAGTGAGTAGTTTGTGTATATCAGTCAATTTCCTGTCTTATTATGTGTGCATGAGAAAATATAGTAGCAGAAGTTAACATAATAGTAATACCAAGTATTTTTGTTATCATTGACTGGCAGTGCATTTTATCATTTGTCTGCCAATCGTCTACCATTCATCCTTGCTTTGAATATTGCTGCAACATCTGGTCTAGTGCTTCTGATATAGATTTATATATTTTTGATAAAATCTAAAGAAGAATCTGCAATGTTATTTATCCTGACCTGGCATCTCGGCTTCTGTCACTTTCCCAATACCGTAACGTAGCTTCTCTGTGCCTTTTCAATAAATACTTTCATGGAAATTGTTTCATTGGGGCTTCATTTTTAAATATTGTCACTTTTATTCCCCACCTCCACAGACAAATTATATATATAGGAACTAGTTAGGACTACATAGAGACTTTGTGGCAGTAGTAAGAATGCTAAGTAAGAATGTGTGGTTTTGGTGTAAGGGACACTGTAGTATGTTTGGCTAGCTAAGTTTAAAATAAGACAGATTGAAGACCAGCCTTTCTCATCCCCCCTTTTGACCTTGTGCCACATTTTTGTATTATATAAAAATAAATATTACTTTCTGCTATGTTACCTAGACTTTATGAATTTAAGCGCAGTGCTAGGTTGGCGGCAAGGTCTCATCATTTTACAGTTGAAATGGCTAGATTTAACCGTAAATTCTATGCTAACAGTTTCTTCTATCGCACTTCTCCATTGTGGAACTCTCTTCCGGCTTTTTGCTTCCCAGTCAAGTCTGATATTCCAAAATTTAAATGTAATGTCAATTATTATCTTCCTATTTTTTGTTCTTTTATTTCATCTCTCTCTTTAATAGAAGGATTTTCTTATATTCTCTAACATTCAGTAACCCTTTACGTCCTTGTGGCTTTTTCGCCTTGCATGGGTTGAACGATTAAAAAAAAAAGAAGAAAAAAGTACAATAGAAATTGATTGAACGCAGACAAAATCGAAAAGTAAACATTAAACCTGGAATTATTTTAATGGTCTTTTGATGATAAAATCTTAGACAATTATATTTTTCATATAAATGTTCATTTCTAACATTGAATAATTATTTATTTCTAAAATTGTCTGAATAAATGTTAATTTCTAATATTAAAGCTGTAGAACGCTGCAGAAAATAACCCTCTTCTTCTCCTCCAGCTATAGGTAAATAGCAGAACAGACCGGGTTCTGTAGCCTTGGATGGCAACTGGTCTATCACAGAAAGAAATGGAAACCTGCTGCGGGAAAAAATCTACCTCGCCAGACATGTATCGATAGATACATCATCGTCTAAGCGTGTGTCACGCATGGCACATAATTGAACTATTTATAAAAATGTAATGACTAAAAGAAAAGATCACCTGTTACTGAGAATAATTTCTTAATTAGAAGCCTGATTGGATGAAAAGTATTAATGTATTATGCTATGCAGCTTTTTATTGGATAAATAATGTCAATACATGATGTAAAAAAAATGTCCCAAACTTAATAAAAACAAAGTTTTATCAACAAAATCTTTATGTTATTATTAAGAGGAAAGACCAAAGGATTTTTTTTTATGTGGAAATTATCTTTTAGAATCCGTTTAGGACCTTCGAAATTTTGGTTAAATATCTCGTATTTCCGGTGTCGACGTGGCGCCATAAATTTGTACGGGAAATTGGAGCATCTTTTTTTTTGCTGTGAAAAAACACATTCATTTGGTAATTCCTTCAAAAATCAGATAATTATCGGATTTTAATGAAAATTTCAGAATTGATTCGCAAATGAATTAAATAATTTTAGAAACTTTTTTTTTTTTTTTTGATCTTGATAAAATAAATATTTTTCATCTGTTACCCCCACTGATTTAACTTTATTAAAGTTCGAAAGATTCTTTTTGTAACATTTAATATTTAGTCCTTGGAGAATTTAAATCATCATATTTTTTAGTCAAGCAGGACCCCAATTATAGTAAATCTGCTATCAATGATAAAATAAAAATGAAATAAAACTTAGACATTATTTAATTAGAAAAGCTTTTAATTGCTTTTATGAATAAGATGTATCATAGACACTATTGTCTTACGAAACATTTTTTCAGATGAATTTTTACAAGAATTATTTCCATTCTTTTTTAAAATTTTAATTAGAATAATTTATAAACTTTTAAATTTTTTAAAATTCTGTATTAATTTGTAACGGTGATATTATTAAATAAAAACTGTATTTACTAATCATAAATCTAAAAGCTTACTACAATTTATCGATCCCCAGTATTTTAAAAAGAATTTTGAATTTTTTTTATGAGTGTATAAATGTACAGACTTTTGTAAATACACACGACCCTACACGGCATTATCAGAAAATAAGAGCGATCACTCCCAATGTCCTTAGACAAGTTTCCCTTAGACCAATATTCTTCAGACGAATGTTCCTTAATCTGGTTGAAAGACATTCCACTTTCTCACCATAGACAGTTTACAGGGTACTTTTATTCCATTTTCATTGAAATAACAACTAACCGGCGAAAGAAAAAAAAAGTATTCTTAAATATTACAAAAATAAGGGAGACAACTTCATTTAATTTTAAATGAGATTCGAAACGTGTTTTCGTTCAGTGCAGTCCGTGTTGAATTATGATGACATATGCAAGGGTGAATAGATTCTTTCTTTCTTTCTTTCTTTCTTTCTTTCTTTCTTTCTTTCTTTCTTTCCATATTTGTATGCACATTTCAGATTATATGACATAAAATTCAGATTATATGACATAAAATTCAGATTATATGACAAACACGAGTTATCGGTGCTTTTTTATGAAATGACTATGATATATGGTGCATCTAAAATTCTTCTTCTTTTTTGTTGAATGATTAATTATCCATATAACTGTTCTCGTTTTGGTTCTGATAGTCACAACGTTCCTCTGTCATTCGTTAAATATTGTAGACGATAACGTTCATAGAATTTCGACCCGAACTCTTAATTCAATTCGCGAATGTAGATTGTTTTCATTCTCTAGTATGGAGAAAATGGATGAAAATAACCTTTAGGCTTTATATGTGAAGTTCAGGTGTTTCTAGTCGGTTAATGCTTACTCAGATACCGTAAACACAGAGAATCCGTAGATATCATAATTCTAGAATATTGTAATATTAAATGTAAAAAAGGGGGGTATATATGCTAGCCAATACGATACATAATTTTCGTGCTTTTGTTGTGGTATTGATAAAAACACACACACGGAGAATCAGCTGATAATATAAAATTAGGTTTTGAATTACTCTATTTAAGCACTGATATTCAGAGAACTTAAAACGATTGCTTGCTTACTTATTTTAGTGCGTCATTTTACTTATAATTATTGCCACAAGACACAAATAATTGCCAGTGCATTATTGAAACTAATTAGCAGTAAATAATCATCAGTGCCTTTTCTAACCATTTGTCACTTATATTATTGCTCATTCAGACTGTGTTTACATTTATATAAGTAACAAAGTAATTGTTATAAGTAATGCGGTTAATCGAAATAAGTGCTGTGTAATTACGCTTTTTTCTAATTTGTTTATTGTCTTATGGTGTTGATAAAATAAAATGTTTTTATCTTTATTTATTTATTTTATTCATGCAGTTGCTACTAAGACGGAAAGTACGTGTTCTCAGATCAAACTAATCGGACGTGAGCAGTGGGGTGCCAAATTACCCAAAGACGTAGTGAGCATGAAAACACCTGTTCGATATGTGTTTATCCATCACACGGCCATGGGAGAATGTTTTAATCTCACCACATGTATAGAACAAGTCAAGGAAGTACAAGATCTGCACATGATTTCGAGAAGTAAGTACTACTTTTTATAGTAGAAAGTGATTAAAATTAAACTGAACAATCCAATTTATATCATTGTGATTGATAAGCGCTCACCTCGAGACAAACTTGCAAAAGTACTCTCTCAATATACTCTTAGAGAGCAATCAATAAATTGGGTTGGTGTATAATTATCAGGCGTTTTTTGTAGGCGTTATTTCTTAAAAAATTGCTGTTTTGTTTACTTTAAAAAAAGGAAACAAAACAGCAATTTTGTAAAAATATTATTTTATTTTCAGGTTGTAAAAATGCGTGCTGATAATCATACGCTCCGGAATAATTATTTAAAAAATGTTATTATTGAATTCCTATATTTCTTTTTCCGTGATAAATATCGCTTAAAAAAACACCTGATCATTATGCACCAATCCAATATTTCAGACTTTTAATGAACTTCAATAGTTCGTCGTCGTTATCGTTGTAGACCGTCTTTTCAGTCGAAGTCGACCAGTCACCTGATCGTCGAATTAGATCAACACGGGAAAGCAAGTAGGGTGTCAGAAAAGACTTAGAATGGCAGTAAAGAAAAGATTCTTTGTGTGATGATTTTGGTGTCCTTCCTCTACCTGCTTTGATCAAACTTCTGTGATTTGAACAACGTCCATGCAGACTAATTAACCCTTTTCTAATTGGCTAGTTAGGACATTACATGTCTTCGGAAGTGTCTTAACCCCTGTATTGATGGCCAATAGTCCTTTCGCTTGATTCCAACTCATGGAAGAAAACGAGTCGCGCCAGTTGGTTCTCAGTTATACGGATGACATGACAAAACCAATGTATCTGTCGGTCGACAAGAATGGCTTTGAGGGTCGTTGATTACGAACGCCTCTGAATTTCAGTATTTATCTCACCAATGTAAACTGGGGATTCTTTATAGATAGTACACGTGTATTCGACGGTATATGATTCGAAGCCATATAACAGTGTTAAAACACATAATGACTTGTAAAGAGCGACTCAGACGAATTACGAATATTTATGTCCACGTTAACAAACTATGGAATTCCACTTCTTATAGGAAGATTTTCTTTATCTTTTTGTGATGTCAACGAACACTCGTTGCCACTTTTGTAATGTCAACGAATACTCGTTGTCACTTTCGCAATGCTCGTTGTAGTAGAGACTTTGTAATCGCAGATACAACTATAGTAACGCCGTTGAACAATACTGGTGTCAGACGCCTTCGGATAACACTCGCTTGCTCGATAATACTCGCTCGAAAAGTAACCACCGCATAATGGTCCGAATAATAATCTGTATAGGGATCAGTATAGAGAAATAGTATAGTGAATAGTATAGAGAATAGCGATCCGTATAATAATAGAGGATAGAATAGAAATAGTGATCCGTATAGTAATAGAGGATAGTGTAGAAAGAGTGATCGTTTAGACGCCACGCCCATATATATATTTCTCTGTTGTTTCACTGGTGATCTGTGTTCAAACTCCAGTGTTGGCAGCGACACTTTATTCCTATATAACACTTTTTTATGCAATCTTTAATGTAAGGTCGTTTAACGTAGGTTTGTTGTTCAATAGAGCTATTTTATCTCACGATCACGAGCCTCGTAACCCATTCATTTCGGAGGGGGGCACCACAAGTGTTGCAGCCATAGTAGCAGTGGTGTTACATGCTCAAGATAGCCTGACAGAATCCAACCCTCTCCAAAGATTCTCGAGGCTAAACAATCTATTTTCGCGAATTGAAATAAGAGTTCGTGTCGGAACTCTATGAACTTTATCAACTTCAATATTTGAAGAAGGACATAAAGTACAACGATCGAAACATTGTGACTATCAAAACCAAAACGAGGGCAGTAATATGGATAATTCCTCATTCAGAAAAAAGAAGAGTAATTTGCACCATCTGTCCTGTTATTTACCCATAGCTGGAGGAGAAGATAGTGATTCATACCTTTCCCAAGGGTATTAGTACGCAAGCGAATGTAATGAACGCAACTGAAATTTGAACTCGGCTCTTTGATTTCACAATCCGAGCCGTTATTCATTACTCCAACCGTGCCACATATTCCACCCCCCTTATACTCCACCGTGTCTCTATTTTATATAGACACATTTAAATATTTTTTCCCTTAAAATTCATGTTGTCGTTTAGATGAGAAAACAAAGCTGAGGTGGTAAACATTGTTCGGCTAACTGGATGATTTGGTTTCAATATTACTTATGGGCATTTAATTTATCTGAGTCTATTATTCACGATAATAGTGTTGGTAAATTTTTGTAGGGGATATAGATGAATAAATGATTTCTTTCTATCTGTACTGAAAATAGAAGATAGCAGCGCCTTAAGATATACAAAATTCAATGACATTGTCGATTAGTCTTTAAAAATAACTTTTAGTTAGTTTTACGGGTTGTACTACTATAAAATTTAATGGCAAGACGGTCCCGGATACAGAAGTGTTCAAAAGAGCTGGCGTTCAGTCACTATTTACCATCTTGCAGTCTCACCGTCTCAGGTGACTTGGGTACGTTGCGAGCATGAATAAGTCCAGAATAACCAAACAGATACTGTATGGGGAACTGTCCGAGGACACGCGTAACGTTGGACGACCCAAGCTTTGCTTCAAAGATCAGTGTAAAACGCCCATGATTTAATTCTTTTTATCAATGTTGCGAACTGGGATGCGGTTGCTCGGGAACGGGTCGGATGGCGGGCTGCTGTTTTAGCGGGAGCAAAGAATTATGAATAGAAGAGTCCAGCACGCTGTAAAAGCTAGTCAAAGATGCAAATGCCCCACGGTGGATGACTCCACAGTATTCTACTACTGTGGTTGTTGTCAAACGTTTTAGCCATGAGCGGCCCTGTGTTTTAAACCTGTCGAGTCCCCTGGGACATACGTGTCCCACAGATGTTTTCAACACGTCCTGTGGGACATAATTTTCGCCAAAACGTATCAATGTTTTTCTGACCCGTTTCAATGCATACAACATACTCTAAATGAAATCGGCCAGTAACGCTTTACTCTGACAATCTTTTCGGTGAATTCCCAAGGCTTAATAAATCACTTAATATACAAGTAGAATGATGACAATTGCTCAAGTAATCTTACATTCTTATAAATAGTTCAGTTATGTGCCATGCGTGATATACACTTAGACGATCATGTATTTTTCGATACAGGACTGACGAGGCAGATTTTTTCCTGCAGTAGATTGCCATTTCTTTCTGCGGTAGACCAGTTGCCATCTAAGGCTATTGAACCTGGTCTGTCCTGCTATTTACTCATAGCTGGTGGGAGAAGAAAAGGGTTCATGCCTTTCCCAAGGGTATTAGCGCGTAAGTGAATATGATTGATTCGACTGGATTTCGAACTCGGCTCTCCGATTTCTCAAACAGTACAACATATTCTAAATGTAGTCGGCTAGTTACGCTTTAGTTTTTATTTTCTGTCAATCTTTTTAGGTGAGTTTCTAAGGCTTAATAAATAACTTAATATACAGGGAGAGTAATGACAATTGTTCAAGTAAATTTTAGGTAACAACTTGCAAAATCACTGATTTGTCTTCAAATTGTTTTTACGACTGCAATTTAGTTTGATCGTACAGAACATGACTTTTTTTTTTACAGTGAGGTTCGCTCTGTACAAGGATCGGAGCCACTCAAGGTAGACAGTTACATTAACGCTTTCGAGTCCCCTGGGACATATGTGCCGACAGATATTTTCAACACGTCATGTGGGACATAATTGTCGCCAAAACGCATTGATATGGGATAAAGCAGACATAGTGTCCTATTGCTATATTTATAATAATACGTTTAGTAATATTATTAGTCAAAGTCATTTAGATATGTCTACGGAAACGAAAAAGACCATATATACTACGACGGTGAGATCCGAAATCGCACTGGAATATCGAAAAAGGACTTCCTGAAACTAACAAACGAGTATTTCGTTGGAAACAAAGAAAAGAATTTTGAAAGGCTATCTTATATCTTTCCTCCTATATGGTGGTGAATTATCTTACAGACGAAGAAGAGATACAAAGCGTAGAGATATGGCTCTACAGAAGGATGCTGAGAATACCATGGACAGAACGCGTGGGCACGAAGAATTTCTAAAGAAAATAGGAACTAGAAAGACATTCATAGTTAAAATTAGAAAGAGACAATTGAAATTTCGGGGACATATTTTGAGGAAGGACGACTTGGCAAATTAAATCCTCACAGGACATATTGGGGATAGAAGTTATAGAAAAAAACAACGAGCAACATACTGAATGTGTTTGTGTGGATGGAGGACAGAGAAGGGGCAAGGAGGGATGGTAAAGAATTAAACGTTACTTACAGCTATAAGAAACAGGCAGTTGTGGAGAGCCATGATCATCCATGTCCTAAAGAGACACAGCATAGAAATGATTACTATTGGTATTTAAGTCTGTCACATTTAACTAGGATTGCACCAACTTTTTGCTAAATGTGGTTCTACAGAAGGATGCTGAGGATACCATGGGCCAAAGATATGAGCAACAAAGAAGTTGTAGAGAAAATGGAAATAAGAAGGAAACATAAGAAGAAAGTTGAAATATGTAGGACACATAACGAGGAAAGAAGGCTTGGAAAATCTGATACTCAAAGAACAGATTGAAGGCATGAGGGACAGACAAAACAATGCATAACATACTTGAGTAAATGGATGGTGGAACAGGGTTTGGGATAGACAACAAATAGACAAAATCTATTAAGAGCTACAAAGGACAGGACATTGTGAAGAGCCATGATCGCCTACATCCTGAAATGATATGGCACATGAAAAAGAAGAAAGTAAGAAAGTCATGGAACAGTAGTTTCTCTAAATGCTCACTTACCAACTTTTATTATCAATCATTGTGACATGTCAATGACGTGACTTTTTATCACGATCGTTGGTGATTTTGTTGGGCGCAGAGAAAACTGGTTTCATAGGATCTTTTCTGTTAAGTCACCCCAAATAATGTAAATATATATAATTATATATATATAATAATTATATATATATAATACCCCAAATAATGTAAATATATGTAATTATATATATATATATATATATATATATATATATATATATATATATATATATATATATATATATATATATAATTGCAAATATTAATTCACCCCAAGACATTATAAAAGGATTAGGATTAGGGTTAGAATTGGGGTTAACTGTCAAAGCAATGGGTATTTGGGGACATATGTCGTGAAAGAAAAGAATGTTTCATGTACTATATGCTAGATAGAACAGCCTCCACATTATTAGACACGAACTGAAGCTGTAATTTATCTGGGGCCACGATTTCGTCGGATTGTTGGAAAGGTTATACATCTTTGAAGTATGATCCCAGTTATATTCATCTGACTGTAAATCACAGTATGGAATTCGTTGATCCAGAAACACCAGCTCACATGCAAACAATCGAAAGTATCTGGTGGAACGCGAAAATGAAGAATAAGTCCATGTTCGGAATTCATCATAGCATGATAGACTCTTCTTATTTGTGGAAGTTCCTTTGAAGACGAAAGACAGAAAATAACAATGGATGTATTTTTGAACAAATTTTAAAGAACATTTCTGAATGTTCGTGTAAATTTTATTTATTTATTTAAAGCCAATCACCCCAAGCAAGACAGGAGTGCCACTAGCATGCAAGGGGTTACAGAGTAAGAGTAAAGAGGAGTGTTCGGGAAAAGGATAAAGAGAAGGACTTCGATGAAATGCTCTAAAAGACATGATATGAGTTTGAGCTTAACAGAACCTAAAATGAAGAATAAGCCCATGTTTGGAACTCATCATAGCATGATAGACTCTTCTTATTTGTGTAAATTCCCTTGGAGACGTAAGGCAAAAATTAACAATGAATACATTTTTGGACAAATTTTGAAGGATATTTTTGAATTTGGATCTGAATTTTAGTAAATATAAATTCTTTTTATTTTAGAGTGAATTAATATTTTGGGGTGAATTAATAGAAAACATCAAAAAATTTTGGACTTTTTGAATAAAAGATTTTATTCAAAAACATTAAATTTCGGCATTAAATGACCAAATGGGTTGATATACCATAAACCGAGCCAAACTAAACCAAACCAAACCAAACCAAACCAAACCAAACTAAACCTACCCTTCCATTCATATAATGCATCTCATTTGCTCTAGCTATTTTAAAAAGAAAAAGAAATCTGTTTTTGGCTTGTTTCTCTAAGTGAGCGCGAATGAAAAACCCCCACATTTAGAAATGGTGCATTCGAGTCGCCCACATTTGTGGCGATCGTAAAGGTCAACCCAACTGGAGACTGCAATGTATCTTCAAAAATCTATCAAAATACAAGAACCTTGAAATTGAAACCTCAAAAATGTGACGCATGAGGGCATTAACAATACCCTGTTGTATTTGAAGCCCTCGTATTGATTGGAAAAGATTCCAATCGACTCATTGGAGAAATCCAGGGTAGCCTTAAAGAAATACAAAAAATTGTACTCACACTTACAGCCCACACATTACGAAAGGCTTTATCTATGTAAAATATGTGTTTTTTAATTTATTTATTTTTGTTTTTGTTTTAAATTGGTTAGTGGAAAATGTCATGATGCCATTTCTGACCTTAGGTCTCTGGTCGGGACCCGGAAAGAAATGTGTACACACCAGAAATCAAAGGAAATAAAACAGTATTATTATTATTATTATTATTAATAATAATAATAATATTGTTAATAATAATAATAATAATAATAATGATTGTAGTAGTAATAATAATATTAGTAGTAGCTATAATAATAATAATATTAGTAGCAGTAGTAGCAGTTGTAGTAATAATAATAATAACAACAACAACAACAACAACAACAACAATAATAATAATAATAATAATATATTTTCAGAATGGTCGGACATTGGTTACAACTTTTTGGTCGGAGAGGACGGACGAGTGTACGAGGCTCGCGGTTGGAATCGAACTGGTGCTCACACCAAATATTATAACCAAGTGGCGGTCGCAGTGTCTGTGATGGGGAACTTTATGAAACGGATTCCCAACCAAATTGCTTTGGATGCTGTTCACAATATTATTAACTGTGGCGTGGAAAAGGGTTTCATAATTCCCAAATACGAATTGTTTGGCCACCGAGACGTTCGCCCAACCGATTGCCCCGGAGATGCATTTTATGAACACATCCAGAAATGGTCGCATTTTAGCCATAATATCCCGAATCTTCACATAAAAACAAACAACGCTTGTGCTTCTCTAAAATTAATGCTTTTTGCTTATTTGTTATCAGCTATTGTAATATTGGTTAACTATTAACTGATAAGCGTTTTCCTTCATTTAGAGTTAGTCTTTATATATAAATGTGCTAAAGGATTCTTTAGTTTATAACCATTATCAGAGGGATGAAATTGATTTAAATAGCATGTACGCTATTTTCGATTTGCGTTTATGGAAACTAGACTATCCGCAGTGGCCACAATGCTCTAAAACAGTCATCGTGGTCATTAAAACAACTAATCCTGTGTATTCTAACATTGATTAAAAAACAAATCGAATGAGTCCTTTCAAATGGCGTGATACATAGTTGTTTAACAACAGGCTTATTTAGTTGTTTAACAGGTTTATTTCGAATGGATATTAATTTTAAACAATAACTTTTATTTTCAAAATTAATATCCCATTATTAGTTTGCTAACAATTTAATTATAAACATTTTAATACATAAACACAAGGGATCTATAATAGTGATAATAAAATAAATATAATACGAGCATTAAACATCATAATTTTAAGGCAGTAGGCCTGTCAGGAATAATTAAAAGGAAAATGAATCAGGCAAAATGATTCAAGTAAGGAAAAAAGCATTAAAAAGAATCTATCGTAAATATATCTACATATAAAAAATATAAAACCGCTTATTTAATTTCATTCTATAAAATTCAAACAACATATTCTTAATTTTTTTTTAATATTTTTATGCATGCCCCGAAGTAGCTTGTTTAATATTATATTTACGCATATTTTAGAAGATCTTGCTTATTTACACAATTTATCTTCGCTGTGGTTGCATTTTATTTCGTGTGAATGAATGGCAGAACAGGGACAAAAAAGCGGGGGTGGCAAATGCTCAAAAGTTCCATAGAAGAAAAGAATGGTACTTGTGGAAAACCATGATCGCTTATGTCCAGAAAGGGTTTGACACATAAAAGAAGGTTGTTGCATTTCCTACAGAGACGTGCCGTCTATGTAGGCAAGGTAGGCAGTGCCTAACCTAGCTAAAAAAAAAAAAAAAAAAAAATCAGCATCTATATTTTCCCTTCTGTGGCACAATATGCATCTAATCCAACAAAATTATGAAGGTTATTTTGATTATTATACATAAAATGCAAAATTTTTTTTTTTTTTTTTTTTGGTAGATTTACTACATAAAGGTCACAAGCTGCCTACACTGAGTAATGCCTGATTTGCTAGTATGCATGAACTCATGAAGGACCCTTCTCTTATTTCTGCTGATGGTAGTCTCTCTCTCTCTCTCTCTCTCTCTCTCTCTCTCTCTATATATATATATATATATATATATATATATATATAATAGTCGAGACGAATAGTTAAAAGAAGGGCTCAAATATTTATATACGGATTACAGTTTGATTTCATAAAATTATATTTTGGAAAAAAAGAAAAGAAATTATTAAAAAGAAAAATCAGTATACTCTGTCAAATATGGTAATTAAGTCATTCAAGATTTGAAGCAATGTCAAATAGCATTAAAATTATTTTTTATTATGCTCGAATAATACGACTAGTGTTCCGTTTACCGGGCAGGCTGCAAGGTGGCAGTAAGGAAAGCAGTTGGATTCAAGATGGCATTTAATTTCGCCTGTTTATTAAAATAGCAATTAAAAGTATTAAGTTTTGGAAATTTCATACATTTATCCACGGGGCAATAAATTGAATTTCTTAAACTTTTTTTTTTAACGGAAAAAAAATGATTATTTTTTTTTACCTTTAATTATCATTGTTTTCTGAGTTTTTAATATTAAAGAAAATATCTTTAACCCTGCGTTAGTCACTTCGGATTTCCGAAAATGGATAATCCCCTGGCGTCTGCCTCCCACGACAACACCGCGTGCTACACACCCTCACTAAATCAGAGGATCAGTGGGTGGGAGAAAAAGAAAGAAGTTTCCATGTAGGAATTACGAGTACTTTAAGAAATGGAAGGTAACAAAAACAACCCACGTAACTAAAGCAGGGTTAATACTAAGACGATAAATAGCTCCCATCTTGAATCCTACTGTTTTCCTAGGCCAATCCTGCAGCGTACCCGGTAAACGTACATTAGCCAATAATGCAAACCCATAAAAAGGTGTTTCTGTGTGTGTGTGTGTTTTGAAAAATATAGAAACCATCACAGCAAACTCTCTGTGTCTTATTTACAGTTTAATCCATCCATTTCTTTAAATTTTGCTTATACGAATTTATCTCTTTATTTTCTTCTGATTTTTCTTTTATTTCACTTTATTTCGAACAATTCTGTTTTGTTTTTAAAAGAAAGAAAGAAAGAAAGAGAGGGAAGAAATAAATGAATTAATTTCAACGGCATCTATTTCTCAAACCATACGTGTATTTAAATATCATATATATACATATACATATACATATACATATATATATACTATTCTTATATATTCTTATATCATATCATATATATGTACTATTTTTATGACGCGCTCTAAAAAAATAAATATTTAATTCAGATAAATGCATAAACTATTTAATCCCTGTGAAGAGAATTGAAAAGAAATCGCATTTTGATTCTTATCTTATTTTCATATTTCCAGACGTCGATTCGGTCTGAGCACTTTTACCACACGCTAAAGAAAATTAAACAAATAAAGTTCGTCATTAACAAGCCTCTATTATTCTGATTATCTGCTTATCGAGAGCAGAACCCTACACGCAAGCTGCTAGTGACCCACTGGCGGACCGCCGATGGCCACGCCAGCGGTCCTCTGGTGACAGCCACCGGCGAGTCACCTCTAGGGGTCCGCCAGTGGTAGCATCGCCGGCGGTCCGACAGTGCGCCACCAGCGGTAAACGCTAGTGGCTTGCCACCCAGTGGCAGATTGGCGGCTTGCCTCTAGGGAAAGAACAACTTAATCAAACATCATATTTTCAAATCACGTATTTTTTGTCAAAGATGGCCGTAATAAGGACGGCAATCGGCGCAATATATAAAATGTTTTTCTTTTTTACTTAGACTGACGAGTTTTTGAAATAAAAATCAATCAAATTAAAATCTTATACATTCTTCTTGTTTTCATTTGATTTTACCATGAAGAGAAAATTAAATGGCATTTGCAAAAGTAAACATACACCCGTTGCCCTTACCCTCCCCCAACCTCAGTGTTTCACGGCATGCACAAATCATCCTACATTGTGTAGCTTAGGTCGTTGTGCACAAAAACGTTAAAAAGCTCCCGTCTACGCTCACAAACGGACGAAAGGCAAAATAACGCCGCAGCGAGTAAAAAAAAACGTATATCCTGTTTCCAGAATATTTGTTAATTTATTCACGTATTCACCTGGCACGGACTGGGAGCAGGTAGAAGGTGACACGTGGAACATCTTCACTGTTTCTCTTGTATTTTCTCACGACAAACTAACGGACCAAATCATTCTTTCGGCCAGCGAGAACTCCGATTCTATATCTCTCTTGCTTGAAGCGTCTATCTCCAGTCACACTGACTTAGAACCTTCGTATATATCCAACTCCCCATCTATACTTCACGGCGTGCGACCTTTTGACCTTGCCTCCCTACATCTACACCGACAGCCTGCTACCCGTTAACATGTGGCTAGAAATGGTAATTCTAACTGCGAAGTATAAGTCTGTGACCAGAAATTCTTAACTTCTGGTAAGGTGGCACTTGTTCTCGAAATATTTTCATTTATTCATTTATTTTGTTTAGTTTTTTCTGTTGTTAGGCAGCAGGATGCTTACTTTGACGAACTTACTTTTAGGCTTTACCGCTGGTCAATTTTAGATAAAATCAATCATTGTCCAATTTATTTCGTAAATGTTCTACGCCATCTCCGAGTTCCATAGTGTCACGGAACTGTTCGGAACGAGAACTTGGTGAATGAGAAATCTACTATCACATAAATATCCTTCGAAAAGGTATATATCTCTCTGTCTCCTTCTGTTAAGGGTTAAATAGGATGACAGACTGGGCTATCTAGTTTGTGTTGGCAACCTGTCTAGGAGAAGAACAACTCTGTGTGTAGCCCTGGATATGCGCATTCTTTACAGCCATGGAAATGATTATGAAGTTCCCAATTAAGTGGAGCGTGCAGTCGTGAACGTTTTGCGAAAAAAAACAAAAATCAAGACAAAAAAAAGTGTTAATAAAATAGAAATGATAATTTTTTTCCCTCTGGTGTAAAATGATATTTCTACGTGAAAGAAAAAAAGAAAGATTTCTAAAGTTGTCCATATAAGGAATGTTAATGTTTTGCTCATTTGTTTGACGTCACAATGCGCAATAAATTTTCTTTTATGAATTTCTTACTTGTTTGTGAAAGTTCTGAAGAGGCGCTTCCTTGAAAACTTCCAATTTACGCACTTGTAATTACAAGTTTAAATAAATAACGAAAGATACATTTGGACACAAAAGATGCATCTCTACCTGCAAGGAAATAAACAATTTTGTCCAATTATGTTTCCTTAAAGCACACACACACACACATACACACACACACATATATATATGTATCATTAGCAAGGTTAAATTATTGCATTTAAACTACAAATTTCTCAAATAGCGTATAAACAGAAAATATATTAAAATAATTGTTGTACATTTCATAATATATGATGTCATTTGTTTACGTTAAGATACACTTCGAGCAGATATGATAGTTCGAGAGAATTCATAGGAAATTTGTAGTTTAAAAAATAATTTAATTTTGTTAACCAGACGCATCCTCTGTAGCTAAAATGTATAGAACATCAGGCTATATGACGGTTCCTTGTAGCATACTGGTTCGATTCCTGTCGAAGGACGCATATTTTCTATGAGATTTCTCGGACATTCGGGCCGCTAAATGTAATTAATATTGTTTATTATAAACAGAGCATTTACTTAAATAATTGTACGTATAAAAATAACGTATAAACAGAAAATATACTAAAATAATTGTCGGACTTAGTCCATTTCATAATATATGATGTCATTTGTTTATGTTAAAAGACGCTTCGTGCAGATATGAGCGTTCGAGAGAAATCATGGGAAATTTGTAGTTTAAAAACAATAATTTAACCCTGCTTACCAGACGTTTCGTCTGTAGGTATAGCATATATATGTTTGTGTATGTTTCCAAAATATTTGTTCATTTATTCACAGATTCACCTGACACGGACTGGGAGCAGGCATTTAGCGGCACGTGGAACATTTTCGCTGCTTCTCTTTTCTATTCACAGGACAGACTAACGGGGCAATTCGTTCTTTCGGTCAGCGAGAACTCAGATTCTATGTCTTTCTTGTTTTAACCGTCTGTCTGTCGTCGCTCTGACTACAGACCTTCACAGGTATATGTGAAGGTCAGTAGTCAGAGTAGACGAGTAGTACTCGTCTATACTTCACGGCGTGCGACCTTTTGATTCTGCTCCCTACATCTACACCGACAACCTGCCATCTTTCAGTGTTTCGATTCTGTATATTAGAAAGTGATATATATATATATATATATATATATATATATATATATATATTTATATATTAAGAACAATGATAGGAAATCTATAATAAAGTGCAATTTTTCGTCCTTTAAGAATTCATTAGACTAAAGTGATGTTTACATTGATGCGATTACACATGTGCATGAAGGAGAGGGGACACTGAATTATTTATTTATTTATTATTATTATTTTGTTAATATGTGTTTTGGGTAGATAGTCTAGGCGATTCGCACTTAATTTCTTTTTCTTTTTGCGTTAGAAAAACATAAAGGTGAAATGTTGTAAGAATTCTGGCGTAAATTTACTGTGGATGATTGAGCGATTAAAGCACTTTCTATATATATTCGTCTTAGTAAAATGATAACTCTTTTAATTAAATTTGCACTTTTTTTTTAACTTGAAATTATGATCAGTCTCATTACGGTGAGTAACTAATGCACTGAGTGTGTTGTTTTGCAAATCATCTCCACCTTGATGTTTCTCCCATATATTCCTTGTGGCAATAATTACAGGTGATAATGTAAATCTCCACTTCAAGTTTTAGCTTATTATTATTACTTTGTTTTGTATTAATTAAGGCATTTATTGTTTTGGAAATAGTTCTAACAAATTTTATGTTAAGCTTAAATAAATTCTTTTCAATTGTAATAGAGATTGAGTGTTGAAAAATATATTTTGAGTGGTTGGTTTTTTTTTTTTTTCAGAATCACCCCTTATTGTATTTTGAAATATTTCATGAGGCTTTTGATTTGCGTTGTATATGAAATAATTAGGGTACTGGAGAAGCTTAAAAGTATCTTCAATGTATTTCTCCTCTTCATGTAAATTTTGAGGGCTGCAAATTCGGAGTGTTCTTAAATATGAGATTCTGGATATTATTTTGCTGTTATAGCGAGAATAGAAGTTTATGAGATGATTTTATTAGTGGATTTACGATGGACACTTAGTTTTAGTCTATACGGTGTTTAGGAAAGGTAAAGAACTGCTTGTCTCCGTTTCGTAAGTGAATTTTATAGTGCGTTTCCCGCGAAAATACATTACCTGACTTTATACATAAACAAAGTCGAAGACACATTAACAAAAAACAAGAAACCAATTGAAATCGGGTTGACTATATACGTAAAACACATAAAAAATAAATTTAAAATTTCAGAATCCCTTTCCTTCATTTGCATTTGTAATCGCATCAACGCAAACATAAATTTTGTCCTAATTATTTTCCTAATATATATATATATATATATAAATATATATATATATGTGTGTGTGCGTGTGTTTGTGTACATTGATGTAATAGAAAAGAAGAGTTAGATTAATGATCCAAAGTTCTTTAGTATATATGTTTTTATTTTAAATTAGAGAATTACAGCTTTAATTATAATTGTTTTTTTTTAATATGATTCCATCGTGACACAGAAATTACTGTTTCGAAATTTGACTCAAGTCCTAAAGTTTAATTTCAATATTAAACTTACAATTTATATATATATATATATATATATATATATATATATATATATATAAGAACTTTGATTATGTCAGAGAACTGAGGAAGTTGTGGATGATGAAGGTGACAATAGTATTAGTAGTTACGGAGGGTAGTGAAAAGAGAAACTGGAAGAGATAGGAACCAATCAGGCGGCGGCATTTTTTAAAAAGATAAGGCTGAGAATAGTACATTATTTACATTATTCGGACTATTGTCCTCATCTTTGTCGCCATATTTATCAAAACGTTTCGGCCGTTGTACGCTCCGGCTTTCTTCAGGTGGTTGGAATGTTGAACTGAACCCTTTATTTCGCTCACTGGGGTAGACTGTTGTAGTTCCACGATGCATGTCAGTTATCAGTTATCTCCTGTTAATTTCCCTCTGAAAGTTCTCCACTGCCTTAACCGGGTATTGAACTCACACTCTGTGAGTCCTGTCACTGGATCTAACCAACGCCTTTATCCACTGTGGATTTCTGGGTATTATAAACCTAATGTCTTCAGCAACCATTTTTACCAGTGCTCATATTGCAATTTTGCTGTTATCATTACATGTTTTTACCAGAGCTCTTATTGCAACTATGTTGTTATCATTGGTTTCTCTGGCACTCCTTATTACTGGTTCCCATATTGTATTTATTTCTATGCTTGGTCGGCTCATAATACCTCATCTCAGAAATATAGACAGGCTGAGAATAG